TTCCCCTGTAAAGGAGCAAAACCCTCTGCCAACCTCAGAGTTAAGTGAGGAATATATCAAGAAAATAGGGGATACAGAATTCAAAACACTTGTTATAAAGTTTCTTATCAACAATGAGAAGTACATACAGAATTCAAGGAATTTAAGGAGTATGTCACACAGGAAATAGCAACACTGAAACAAAATCAAGTAGGACTATTGGAAATGAAGGACTTAATAGGGAAGATTTAAAATTCAGTGGAAAGTCTCCATAATAGAATGAATGAGGCAGAGGAAAGAATCTTAGAAACTGAAGATATTTCTTCCCACAATGGAAAAACAATCAAAAAACTGGAAGCAGAGCTGGGTCATGCTAAAAAAAGTACTCAAGAATTAAGACTCATTATTAAAAAGCCAAATGTAGGAGTTATGGGAGTTCCAAAAGGTGCAGAAACAGAAGCTGGGTTTAAAAATGTATTCAATGAAATAATAAGGGAAAATTTCCCTGATCTAGAGGAAAAATTGGGAAACAGCATCCAGGAGGGGCACAGAACTCCCAACAGGCTTGATCCAAAGCGATCTTCACCACGACACATCATCATCATCAAGCTCTCTTCAACTGAACATAAGAAAGATCCTTAAATGTGCACATGAAATTAGATTCATAGCTGACCTCACAAGAAACCCTACAGGCCAGAAGAGAATGGAGCAACATAGTCCAAATCCTAAAAGCAAGAAATTGTCAGCCCAGGATAATATACCCAGCAAAGTTTTCCTTTGTCTTTGAAAATGAAATAAAATTCTTCCACAGTAAAGAAAAGTTAAAAGAATATGCCTCTTCTAAACCTGCCTTGTGAAGGATACTCAAAACCAAAGGCAGATGTGAAGAACATCCCAGTAAAATAATAACAGAAGACTAAATCAATGAACAAACCATTGCTAAAATGACAGGACTACATTACCACCTATTTATATTAACCCTGAATGTAACATGGCTTAAACTCATCTACTATCCTAGATTAGTAGACTGGAATTAAATAAACAAAACCCATCTATTTCTTGCATATGGGAAACATATCTCACCAAGAAAGATCAGCAGAAACTAAATCATGGATCTTGATGTTTTGTTTTAAATTCCTTTTCTTCAAAGCTGTATTTTTCTCCTATTAAATTCTTCACCGACACATAGACCATACAGTAGCATCATTTTCTTCTTTCTTCAAGAAGGTTCTTGATTTTCTTTTTCATTTCTTCAGGGACACATTCATTCAGTAGCATGTTATTTCACTGGATGGCATTGTAAATTTCTATTTTTCTTCCTGTTATTGATTTTGTATTGTGGCTTTTCATTTAAGGGGATGTGTAGTAACTGTGTAATGGAGACTATCCTATCCAGATGTGAGGATACAATGCAGTATGCACCTATACTTCCACACCAAGGATGGACTCCCATTGAAACTCTCTGCCCACAATGATGGACTTACGACTTTTTATGAAGAATGATCAGTGGGAGGAAGAGGAATTGGGGAGGGGTATGGGAAATCCCAGGGCTTATGAAACTGTATCATACAATGATAATGCAAACAAAGAAAATATAAAACACATGAGCAGAACCCTCAGAAAATGTTCCACAATGGGGACCCTGGGATGGCATCAGGTGGCAGTCCCCCATCCCCCAGGTAATGTGGTGGTTGGGAAGCTGGGTGTGGTTTCTTCTCTTGTATTCCCCTCCCCTAAATATGGGAAGAAAAAGAAAATGTGCAAACAATGGTCTCATCCACTATCCCCTGATCCTTGTCACTCTGGTCAATAATGTAAACATCATCAAAAATAAAATAATAATAAAAACTCTTTAAAAAGGGCCTGGTTAAAGTCCTTGCCTTGCATGTACCGGGATCCCATATGGGCAAGTTCTAATCCCGGTGGACCTGCTTCCCATCCAGCTCCCTGCTTGTGGCCTGGGAAGGCAGTCCAGGACACCCCCAAAGCTTTGGGACCCTGCACCCACATGGGAGACCTGGAAGAGCTCCTGGCTCCTCAAGATTGGCTCAGCTCTAGCCGTTGCGCTCACTTGGGGAGTGAACCATTGGACAGAAGGTCTTCCTCTCTGTCTCTCCTCCTCTTTGTATATCCACCTTTACAATAAAAAAAAAAAATCTTAAAAAAATAAAATTAAGAAAACAAAACAAACAAAAACATGAAAAACAGCATTTAGCTAGACCACAAAATAAACCTCTAAAGCTTAAAGTAAAAAAAAAAAAAAAAACCAAAACAAACAAACAAAAAAAACCCAAAAGAGTACATGGTTAGGAGGTGCTAAGTCAGAATGAAGCTAGATCCCATGGCAACACCTGTTCTCTCCTGAGTTTTAGCATTTCCGGCCCACTCAGCGTTTCCAAAGGGGCAGTGTGTGAAGTATCTGCTTATTACCCCGGAGAAAACGTTCTAGAAAAGGCCACAATGTACGGATCAGCCATAATAAATACGAAAAAGATCCCAGGCTCCATAGCTGAGGGAGACTTATCCTTCCAGTGTGTTATAAACCTGGGTGATTCTGAGCATGGAGTTTTATATCCTGCTCTACGAGGTGATCAGGTTTCTTAAGTCATCACTTCCAAACACATGGACTTGGACAACCACAATGATTTCAACACAAATATCTCCACCCCGTAAACTCTAGCCTGACCCTCCCTTCCAATGACCACATCAAAGGGTTCAATGAGTACTGTGTGTTTTTGACACACTACTGTGTGTGTGTTGGGGAGAAAGTGCAAATGGACTCTCCCATAACTCCTATTCCAGAGGAAAAGACAGATAATAGTTAATGTAAGGTATAAAAAAAAAAGTCTACGGATAAAAGGCAGGATGCAAGTCACGTGTTGATTTTAGTTCTTTTATTGTTTATCAAAATGAACCAGATGAAAATGCCAATACTTGGGAGTAATCTACAGAATGGGCTGTTTCACATGGTTTGACCTCACAGGGTCAGCCAGCAAACGGTCTAGCAAATCCTGGAAAGGCAGAACACAGCTGACTCTCTCCTACAGCAAGAGGAGGTGTGATGGTGGCAGGAACAGGAGGCACTTAGGTGACAGGGGAACAGGATGGGTGCTGTGACAGCAGACAAATGGCTTGCCTGTGGCACTTCTCCCCTCCAGACCTAGAGGCTCCAACTTCATCCTGAATTCCCTAGGAAGTGATTATTTTTAGCAGGAATGGGGCAAAGGGAGGATGATCCTAACAGCCCACCATTTTAATTTCTTCAACTATTTGTAAGTACCATAAATACCAGGAACTTGGAAGTCCATCATTTGATTTTTGCAGAAAGGGACATATACATTTCTTATACAACCAAGTGCCAAAACACTCCTTGTACCTGCGCAACACCTGGTTGAGCTTGGTGCTGTGATAAACTACCAGATAGGAAGGAAGTGCTTCTTGGTGTGACGCAAAAGGAGGATTGTCACAAAGAATTCAAACTCAGTTCCCAACAAGCCCCCAAAGCTGACTGCCAGTTCCACAGCAAGCCTGAGAGACATGGGAAGACACTGGGATAGCTAAGGATGCAATCAGTAAGAGGCAGGATACAGGAAGAAGCTACGCTGCATAAGAACAAAGGGAGGGTGGAGAGCTCTGGAATTCCTTCCATATTTTAGATATTAATCCCTTAACAGATGTGCAGTTTGCAAATATTTTCTCCTAGTCTGTAGGCTGTCTCTTCATATTGTTATTAAGCTCATATATATTACAAGCTTGTAAAAATGTGCGAACCTTTCCTACACCTTTGTTTATATACATCGAGTGTAACATAACTAAGTCTGCAAAAAACAGGGAAAATGAAAGTACAATATAGGCCATCTGCATCTAATACTAAAGAAATATTAACATGCCTTTGTAAAAAGAATTCTTTAAAGCTACAAATTGTAAGTTGATAAACGCTGAAGCTAGGGATCGGGCATATAAGAGTTCTTGATTATTTTTCCATTGTTATGTATTTAAAACTTGTACAGTATGAAGAAACAAGCTATGAACCAGCAGAAAATATTTCCAAACTGTATATCTGCTAAGGGTTTAATATCTAAAATGTATAAGGAATGCATACAACCCAACTGCAAGAAAACAACCCAATTAAAAATTGGGCAATGAACCATAATAGACACTTCTCAAGAGACCTACAAATAGCCAATAGATGTGAGAAAAAAAAAAGTTCAACATCACTAATTACCAGAGAAATGTAAATGTATTAAAAAGATAAAAAAAGAGAACAAGGATGTGGAGACATCGAATACTGTTAGTTCGTAAAAAAATAGAATTAGCATATTATCTAGCTCTAACACTGAAAGTATCTATCCAGTGGAACGGAAATAAGTATGCTAAAGATGTGCAGTCTCAAGTTCACTGCAGCAGTGACCACAACAGGCCAGACGTGGGATCCAATCAAGTCTCCATGAGTGGATGAACGGGTGAGGGGTCTGAGTACACAGTGGAACACTACTCAGTCATACGAGAAAATTCTTTCACTGGTGACAGCATAGATGAACTTGGAGGACATAACGTGAAGTAAGATAAACCAGACACAAGAGGCAAATGCTGCATGGTGTCCTTTAGCTGTGTACTCTGAAACTGTCAAACGTACAGAAGTAGGCACGAAAATGCCAGTCATCTCAGACCTGGGGAGGTCACAGATATATTAAAGGAGACAGAGGCTTAAAATGTCTAGTTATGTACTATACACCTTGGCATGTGTGGTTAATAGGAAAGTAAAAATCAAGCATTCTCATCACCAACCTTGGAAGGCTGTGAGGTGATGAATCAGGATTCAATGCGTACAGAATACCACTTAACCCACTCGCACAACTATTACTTGTCAATTGAGCAAAATCAAACAGAAGCTCCCACAGTACAAAACCTGCAGTAGGCTGGTGGCCCTGCCGACCCCTTTATTTCTTCCAGTTTTCACGTGTCATCCACTGGAGCTGGGAATGACCGCGAGGACGGAAAGCCCTCCCACCGCTGCTCACCTGTCGATGAACTGGTCGATGATGACAATGTCACCAGGCTGAATCTCTTCCCGCAGGGAGCCACAGGCTGTGGTCACCAGCACGTGTGTGCAGCCCTCCTCCTTCAAGGCCCAGATGTTCGCCTGGTAGTTGACTTTGGAAGGCATGATGGTGTGCTGCCTCCCGTGCCTAGGGGAGCAGAGGGAAAGTGGCAGGCACAGGCGTTTAAACACTATTAGGGAAAGAAATTCATTAAAAAAAAAGTATTTTCTAGCTCTTCTCACCAAGATGCTTTTGTTGGCAGAGCAGGAGTGAGAAATCACTAGGTCACACTCTAGCAACTGTAACCACCAACTATTTATCCAGGCCTGTGCCCAGTGCCGTGGGTCAACAGGCTAATCCTCCACCTTCAAGTGCTAAGATCCCCTATGAGTATTGGTTCCTGTCCCAGCTGCTCCATTTCCCATTCAGCTCCCTGCTTATGGCTTGGGAAAGCAGCAGAGGATGGCTCAAGTCTTTGGGGCCCTGTACCCACATGGGAGACCCGTAAGAAGCTCTTGGCTCCTGGCTTTGGATTAACTCAGCTCCAGCTCTGGCAACCACTTGGGGAGGTGGGGGGGGAGTGAACCAGTGGATGGATGATCTCTCTGTTTCTCCTTTTCTTTATAAATCTTTAGAAAAAATAATCCAGGTCCATCTTCCTATACCTTAATTTATTATTAATTTTTTTAAAAAGATTTTATTTTTATTTCTTTTGGAAAGTCAGATATGCAGAGAGCAGGAGAGACAGAGAGGAAGATCTTCCATCCATTGATTCACCCCCCAAGTGGCCTCAACAGCTGGAGCTGAACTGATCCGAAGCCAAGAGCCAGGAGCCTCCTCGAGTATCCCATGTGGGTGCAGGGTCCCAAGACTTTGGGTCACCTTCCACTGCTTTCCGAGGTCACAAGCAGGGAGCTGGATGGGAAGTGGGGCAGCCGGGATTAGAACTTGCCCATATGGGATCCCGAGGCAGGCAAGGCAAGGACTTTAGCTGCAAGGTTACCACATCGGGCCCCTTACATCAATTTTTCTACCAAGTGTAAGTAATACTTCAGAATTGATGCTCCAGGAAGGCAAATCCCCTGCCTATCCTAATGGACACAAACTCTCCAGAGGGAGGCATGTGCTCTAAGCTTCTTGGAAGCTAGGGGCACCAAGGAAGACAGAAATAACGTAAGCTTTAAGTTTCCAGTTGCATCTCTCCATTCCTTTCTGTGTTGTCAGCCAAGTAAGTTATTCAGAACTTATTAAATCTGAGAATTCCCAGTTGTTTAAGGTGACATCAGATTTTGCCTTACAAAGGATCACATTAAGCCATGGACTCTTTAGTGGGCTGAACTGGGCCCAATCAAAATTCTGACCTTGAGGGTCTGACTCCTCTAAATCCCAGAATGTGGACATATTCCAACGCAGAGTGTTTTCAGATTCAGCTGAGTAAAATGAGGTCATTGGGGTGGATTTCTTTGCACAGGTGTCTTAGGAAGAAATGTGGACCCAGACATGCACTGAAAGAAGAGGATGTGAAAATACAGGGAGAACTACCCCAGCCATAAGTTGGCAGTGAAAAACTGGACAAACGGAAACTCTAAGATGGACTATGTCAATCAGTGGATTCCTCGGTGACCTCACTGTGCTTGAATTGGTGAGATTGGTAGTGATTCAGAACTGTTGAACTATCAAAACCACTTGAGCAAGACCCTCAGAGCATGCTCCACATCAGGGACCTGGGTTGGGTGGGAGACCAGGTGGGACTTTTCCCTCTTCCTCCCCCTTTACTCCAGATATAGGAAAAAAAAATGTGGAAATAATAGTCATACCCACTTTACTGTAGCCCTTGAACCTTTGTGCCCTAATTAACAATGTAAAGATTATCAAAAAAGAAAAAGAAAATGCAGGGAGAAGATGGCCACACTCAAATGGAGGATTCGAGCTTGGAAGGGATCCTTCCCCACCATCCTCAGAAGAAACAACCCTTCCAGCGCCTTTATCTCGGACTCAGGCCTCCAGAACTCCAAGGAAAGAAACTCGCGTGGAAACCTGGTATTCCACCACATCTGTGCCCTGTCAGGGCCACCTGAGCAAATGCACACCCAGCCATGACTTCCTTCTTATTCCACATGAAGCCCAAACACAACCCACCAGGACAACGCTGGCTGTCTCCCTTCACTCCCTCTGGCTCAGCTCTGGCTGCTCATCCACACTCCCAGGGGATCATCCCAGGGATGGAAACTTCCAAGACCAGAGCCTGGGGCTCACTTCCCTGTTCTCCGAGCTGAGCTTTCTTCCAGCCCCACTCAGGATCGCCAACAGTGCATCGTCCTGTGGTGTCACCTTTCTCACCAGGGTCAGCCCTGACGAGGACACCCTTGTGTCTGCCTTGTTGGCCCCTCCCACAGGAGGGACCTGCTGGACAAAGGGACTGTGTGTGCTTAAAATTCTTTCAGCAATGGAACCATGGAAGCATGCACAGACCCTTGAAGGAATGTTGGTAAACAGCCAGGAAAGGGAATCCGATTTCTAAAATTAGTTTTGGAAAAGTCCCATGTGTAACAGGACATCTACACAGGCGGCCTTTCATAGAGAACTAAAATTACTCTGGGTTGCTTGGAAGACTACGGTAACACATGGATTATGTGGCCACAGAAAAGCAGTGTTCACAGGCAAGCACTGTATATGTGGTAATGCAGAAATACAAAAAGCACACCTTGTATCATGATGAATAAAAGCTTGGTACCCTCGCTCCCAGTTCCTCATACACTTGTTTTCTTGCGGTAAGAACACAAAAATAGCTATTCTCAGTCTAACTAAGGTTATGGGTATTGGGTCTTTTGTCAGTTGCTTAGGAAAAAAATATGAGAATAGTTGGTGTTGCTTAATTCTGACATCACTGCAACTTATATATAACATGATAACAAGCATAAGAACATGTTTGCATATTCACATATACGTAATATCAATCCTTAGGCATATCTCTAGGGGGAAAAAAGGACTAGAAGTAAATACATCCAGATGCCAAAGTAAGAGTCGGGGCTTCATACAGTAACACTGCCTTGACTTCAAGGCCAAGTCTGATCATTTACCAGCAGTTACGTCCCCTTACCGAAATCATTTCACTCTTGGAGCCCAATCTTTCTTTAATCTGTAAAGTGGTTCTTTAAATCTCACTCTCTAGGGTTTTTAATCATCCGATGCTCTCATAAAGAGTCTCCAGTATCTCCTCTGAGGCCCCAGCCAGGATTGTTAGAAACATCTTAACTGTAGAGAAGCACTCAGCCTGATTCCGCCCCCTGTCCACGGCTGGGGAAGCCCACGAGCACCTCTCAACGGGAAGCACTTGTGAAGCTGAGCTGCAAAATGCCACTAATAACATTTCCTAAAGAAACCTGCAGGCCAGAAGCCACTAAAAACCACTGCATTAGAGGGTCAAACCCATTTCAACTCCGGAAATCAAAAACCCTTGTTGCAGGGCCCCACACTCCTGTGGGCCTCTCTCACCGTCCGCAGAAAGCTGGGTTTATCCCCCAGGAACAACCAGAGGCTGACAGAGACAGGCTGCCCGTGCTCCTCCTGGGTAACGGGCCAACGCTGAACTCCAGTTTCACTGTATTTTAAGCAGATACTGTCATCTTGCACAGCACAGGAGTGGCAGACACAGCACACGCACTGCCCGTCTTCATGCCCTGTACAATCTCTCTCCTGAGGCGGGGTGGCCCTGCGAACGGGCCGTGGGACAGACCGGCTCCAGGCACCGAGGTCCTCAATCCCACTGCCTCAAGGAAGTGGAGGCAGCCAACCAACGCACAAAGAACGAGGCCCTCAATTCCAGATGGGACCCCACCCTGAATGCACCTTGCATGGCCCCTGCAGGGGACCCCGCTAAGCTGTGCCAGTCTCCCGCTTCAAAGACGTGGAGATAAGCACTCTTTCAAATTGCTCAACTGGGGTACAGAAAACTAGCACTTGGCAGTTTCACTAATTTTTACCTCTGTGATCAAAAATGACACGACCTCCTCTATAGCATGAAGCAGCACCAGCTTTGTCAAGACAATGAGGACGTGGAGCCCCCAAGTCACCCACTTCAGGGGCAAAAAACTACTGGGGACCCACCCAGTGCTTCGACAACCCAAAGGGCCATGAATACAACACTCATTACTTTCACCTTGACAGAACAGAAGGAAAAAGCGATGAAAGCAAGCATTTCTTCTTACAGTGACAACTGAAACTAGTTCCAGTTATGGTCAACGCATTCACGTGTGCAGATCTGTGATTTCCAGAATGAGCATCACGTATTCAAACAGCAAGCACATACACAGAGGCGACTAAAGGCCCTGCCTCCACTAACAGCGATGGACACACAGCCACGTCCCCGCTCTTTCCAGAGTCCAAGTTCACATCCCTCTTCATTAGTGACATTCAAGCAGCTTAAAATACTTTACCTGGCAAGGAGGACGCAATCAACATTTTTTATCTTCCCCAAAATCAAGGCATCCGATGGCTGTAGGAAATGAAAGACAGTTATAACTCTACAGGCATTGTCCATGCCAAAGATATCAGGATACACTTAAATAGCAGAATGATGGAAGACTGACTGCGAAGGACTACTGTGATGCTATGGGGTAATCAGTGGCTGGGGGGAGGGGGGGCTTGGGAAGGGGAGAGGGAAATCCCACAGCCTATGGAACCGTATCATGGAATAATAAAAGAAAAAAGGATGTAAACAATTTGCCTGCTGAGCTTCTTGATCACAACAGGATTCATGGGAACTATGGCCTGCTGCTACAGCTTCAAGATCTGTAGTTGGGTTTGTGCAATGTCATTTACCGTTTCTGGAGCCCCTCACAGGCACAGAGCACCAAAGGCCTTGCACACAGGTTAGGGTGTCTGCCCAGTGCCATTTAGCAAATCAATTTGTGTCAAGTGTCCCAGGTGACTTATGGTGGAGTGGTCAAAAACTGGCACGTTCACCAACCAGTGTGAGAGAAACTGCTGCTCAGGCACTAAGAACTCGGCACTGGGACTCTACTTGAGTTGGCCATGTCTTCTAAAACAGCCAAGGAATGACCTGAGGTGACAGAGGGCAAGCTCCTCAGGGCCCATGGGGTTGACAAAGCAGAGGCTGACAACAGCAGGAGGCCCGGCTAAGAAGTTGACTGAAAAGGAGGGTCTGGATGCAGAGCTGGTCACAGGAAGGTGAGAACTCCAATGTTGGGAAGTCACCACACAGAATCAGGAGAAGGCGGATGTCCACACCCCCGCCTGGCTGGGGACCCAGGGGCCTGGAGAAGATGTAGCCTCCCCACAAAGCGATGTGGGCGTCCCTTCCAGCGCACTCAAGCACTCCGCCAACACCGCGTCATCGGCATCTCCATGGCAATCCTCCTTAGAACAGGGCTCCCTCACAGATGTTGTTGTCACTTCGTCCTATCCTATGAGTCATCAGCGTGGTGTGGCCTCTGAGCCTCAAATAAGAAGCTGATCTGATTGCATGCGCACATTTGCAAAATCCAGTTGCTACGTCTGAAATGTGTTTTGGGTTTCGACAACACATACAGTTACACAAACACAAGCCCTGTTCTCACACAGTGAAATCAGACTTTCTCACCAATACCTTCTGTGTGGCACAACCCGGGCCAGGATTCCTAGCTCCACCCCACCCATTCTGCCTGGAGTAGCCAATCCTGGGCATCTAAGACAAGAGGATTCTTATATATATTTTTAACCCGAAAAATGAAGTCATCCAGAAGTGGAGAAGCGGGACCTGACCTTGCCAAACGGAGTATCCACATATTTTTCAGTTCTTCCTTCTAAAATTTCCGGATCATCCAGGCCTGTCCCACCAATTATTCCAATCTAAGGGAGGAAAAAAAAAAGGGGGGGGGTGGAAGAAAAACAGTCACTTTTCATTAGGAAAAAATATATCACTATTTTAAGCAAGGTATGTTCTCCATTGCTGCTAAGCAAAAACAAGCTCGGGGTTAATGCTGTGATGTGGTGAGTGAGGTTACCACCCGCACCGCTAGTGATCGAATTCTGGCTGCTCCATTTCCAACCCAGTTCCCTACTGCCGTGCCCGGGAAGGCGGCAGCCGGTGGGCCAAGGGTCTGGGCCCCTGCACCCGCAAGGCGGACCCGGGTAAAGAGCCTGGCTCCTGGCGCTGGGCCAGCCCAGCTCAGAGCACTGCGGCCATCTGGGAATTGATCCACCAGACAGATCTCTCTCTGTAACTTTGACTTTCATAGAAATAAATCCTTAAAAACGATTTTTCTAAAGTTCAACGATCATGTGAAGTGCACTGATATTCCAGAAGTAATGAAAATGCAGGTCATCGTTTGGGCTTTATCACATTCATTTCTGTTGGTAAATAATCAGAGAAAGGTATTTGAGCTTCCGTTAGTAAAGAAAACCTAAAGGGAGGCACACGTGGGTGCAGAAAAGCATTTGCTAATTGTATTTCGCTGTCAAATGAACAGAAGAGCATTCAGAAGACTGGTGACAAATCACATCAGGTGGGCCCGGCGCGGTGGCACAGTGGTTAAAGTCCTCGCCTTGCACGCCCGGGATCCCATATGGGCGCCGGTTCTATCCCAGCAGCCCCGCTTCCCTTCCAGCTCCCTGCCTGTGCCCCGGGAAAGCAGTCGAGGACAGCCCAAAGCTTTGGGACCCTGCACCCGCGTGGGAGACCCGGAAGAGGCTCCTGGCTTCGGATTGGCATAGTATTGGCCCGTTGCGCTCACTTGGGGAGTGAATCATGGGATGGAAGATCTTCCTCTCTGTCTCTCCTCTCTGTATATCTGACTTTCAATAAAAATAATAATAAAAATCTTTTAAAAAAATCACATCAGGTGTCTCCACTGCGGCTTCTCCCCACGGCTCCGGCTTCACCCCATGGCTCTGGCTTCTCCCCATGGCTCCGGCTTCTCCCCATGGCTCCGGCTGACCAGGCCAGAGCTTCCCTCTGCCACGGCGGGTGCACCACAGCCAAGGGGCCGGGCAAGAATGCAGGCGGAAGGCGCTGGCATGAAACGCCAGCTTCGTGAATCGCTCCCCAATGAAAAGTGGTTCCAAATGTATTTCAAGTTCAAGCACAGACAGCATTGTTTACAGGTTACCTTGAAAACCCTCACACAATGTTAAGAACCCCAGCACCACCCCGTAAGGGTTAATCCAGTTTGATGACTAAGAGACGCAAACAAAAGTAATGACAAAGATGCATCCCCATTCAGCTGCTGAAACTAAACCGTGAGGAGCTCAAGTCCCCAGGAAGGCTCCCTTCCGAAAGCAGGAAGACATGGATTAGTCAACCTCCGGCCACAGACACCATGTGGTACTGGAAGCCAAATGGAAGGAGATCCTAGCACAGTTTTTTTTCTTCATTGCAACACTGGAAATCTATTGTCCCCTGAGTAAACTTTCCAGAAAATCCATTTGCTTCTTGAGGGAAATGTCAGAGGTTAAGAATGAACTGAACATTTGAGTCAAATAACATATCAGATAATTTATTTGCTATTAGTTATGTATTGCTTTATATCATTATGTGGGAAAATGGTTGCCACTGTGGCTGCCAGTTTTAAATATTGAAAAATATTAACAAAATAACAATTAACATCAGCTTAGTGGTTTCTAAAGAAATCCGCCAGTTTCCTGAAGTGTGGCCCTGTTTCTCAATGTGCAAGGCATCCAAACCTTACCGTTAGTGCCACCTTGTGGTGCATTGTTGAAATCACAGCAAGCCACATATGCTGTCAACAGGTGAAGACTAGTGTTACTTTCCAAACCAAACAGATGTGCACACTGAGTCAGTCAATATGCACTCATCCAGTTCAACCCACACTTTCAAAATTTTCGCTTTTTTTTTTCACTTTGCTTTCACATGCCGTACAGGCTGCCAGAGATTGTGGCCCGTGTCCCCACGCTGGCCCAGAGGAAGTCCTATGGCTTCTGAATTGGCGGCTTATCCCCAGGACATGACCGCTCCAATCCTGGGCCTCAGACTCAAACAAAGGTACTTCAAAAGTTCATGGGAAAAACAGAATTTCAAAAAGTATTTTGACAAACACTCACAAAAAAAAGTATTAGAACTCCATGACAGCTTTTTTGATAATGGGTGTCCTCCCTGAACTCATTTAAGACCAAATCCGATTTATTCAAACAGTAGAAAGAGAGGCACAGAGCTCTTCCTCCAGCTGCTCCATTCCCCAAAAGGCTGCAGGTGTGAGGGCAGGGCCGGGCGGCAGCCAGGTCTCCATGTGGGTGGCAGGGTCCCAACTACGTTGAGCCCCTACAGCTGCCTCTCAGAGGGCATATTAGCCAGGAGGTGGATCAGAACAAGCGGCAGGACTCGATTCCAGCACTCTTGTACGGGATGCATTGCTTCAGTGCCGTGTCATGCTCTCTGCCACATAGCCCACATCTTAATCTCATTTTCCACATGCTGTTTTCCTTTGCTTTGAAACAGCTACTTCCATGGATGAACTAGTGCAGCTTGGCAGCAGTAATTCATTCAGGCTAACCAGGAATCCTGCTGAAATGCAGTCCCTGAGTTCACCTGCGGCAGCCCTAAGCGGGGGTAAGAGGACCCTGACCAGGTAGCCACCATCTGGCCCCCAGCACACACAGTGTAGCACCCAGCATGAAAGCAAGACAAGAGAACTACTCAGGCCCAGCCCATCTGGTCCTCCAGCTGCCTCTAGTTGTTTATGGCAACTCACATCTTGTAAGGGAAACAAAGCAATTAAGTATTGCCATCCTAGGAACCGCGACCTCTAAGATGGAGGCCTGCAGTGGCAAGATGTGGCCAATGTCGCCACCTGCTGGCCAAACAGCAAAGTACAGCCGGGATGAAGGGGGTTTTAAAGCACAGGCTCCGTGCTCGGCGCTGTGGTGACCTTACCTCATTCAACCAATACAACCACCCTAGAAGTCAGGCCCAGTGGTTCATATCCATTTTACACACAGCGAAAGAGAAGTGCAGAATTAGGCAACTTGTCCAAGACCAAATCAGAAGGAGCAAGGCTGGGAGAGGGTCTCAGGTGTTCGAGGCTTACCACCAATGTGCGTTTTCATGACATCACACCCGATCAGGAAAGTTTCATTTTCTCCGTGTTAACCTGACTACCTGAGTGAACCATCTCACAGGACAGAAAGGCATCACTGTTAACCTCATGTCCACTCAACAACCACGAGACCTTGCCAGGCTCAGCCCACAGTCCAGGCTCACACGGCACCCAGGTAAGGGGGCTGCCGGCGGCTCAGGTGGTCCATGGTAGCTTTCTTGCTTGGTTAGGACTTTTTCATTACACAGGGGAGAATTCTTATTTGAAAGGCAGAAGGAAAGAGAGGAAGGGAAGACACACAGAGCGACAGATCTTCCTTTCACTCCCCCAAGGTCAGTGATGGCCAGGGGGCAGCCCAGGCTGAAGCCAGGAGCCAAGAGCTCCAGCTGGGTCTCCCCAGCCCAAGTCCATCAGCAGGGAACTGAACCGGAAGTGAAGCAGCCCGGACTTTGGTGCTCCAACACGAGATGAAAACGTTGCAGGCGTCGTCTTCACGGGCTATGCCACAGCATCAGCCCTCCAAACGTTCTGAAAATGGACCTACCGGTCAGTCAAAGCCATTGCCACATCTCAACAGCCGGTGGTCATCCCACTTTTTTTCCACAGACAGACCACCAAACCCACCTCCACAAAAGAGTGGAAGGTTTGCTTTGTTCTCTGGGACAGTGCCATGGCTTCCTCTGGCAAGGCTGAAAGGGCAAACACGAACCCCAGCCCACATCTCCTTCTGGTCCCTGGCTCCTGGAGACTTCACCAAGCCCTCTTCATCTCAGGAGCCACTCAGCAGCACGTTGGGCCTGCCTCAAGGAAGCCGCGCTCTCCCAACACTGAGAGCCCAGGCCTGACGCGCTGAGGGTGGCCCCTGCTGCCCTCTAAGCACTTCCAGCTCGTGACAAGGTCAGAGCCAGAACCACAGCGCACACCCTTCCTGACCCGAGCCCCTCAGTGCAGCTCTGTCTGTCCCCAGCAAGTCTGCCCAGCCCGGCAGGTAGCACCAGCCCTTGCTGGCCAGCTGGGCCCAGACATCTCCCCACAGCTTCTGTTTGACTAATGGTCCCTTAGGCCAGCAACTCTGACTAATGCCAGGGTGGGGAACGTCCAGCCTGTGAGATCGTTTGGCCTGGCCTACCAAAGCAGCCTCAAAATTCAGTAAAATCTAGAGCAGGCTAATGTTTAAGTTGTTCATTTTCTTTGGCCCATGAATGACGTTACAGAAATGCAAATGACCCTTTGTATAAAAAAGTTTCCCCAGCACTGGACAGGGAGGCACCTTTCCTGCTGAAATGGCCAACGGTCTCTGGGGGGTTGGCCTGCAGGAGGGTTTTCCGGGCACACAGAGTAGCCCTCGGAGCCCTGCTGTGCCCGTGCAGCAGCAGGCTCTGAGTGCTCTGAGTCGGCTCAAGTCGCTGCGAGGTGTCACATCACAGCACCAGGTCTTAGATTGCAGATTCTGACCAACTGGGCAAGGCCTGGCTTCCTCCAAAGCTCTTCAGGGGTTCTGAACCCAGCACCCTGCTCCTGGGTCCAAGATTTCAAAAATAGGGTTTGCTGAGTGTGGTAAAAGGGATGCTACTCCCAAAAGGTCCATCTATGTCCCGTTTCCCAGACCTGCAAAACTTACTGTCACATCACTGAATTAAGGATCCCGAGATGGGGAGATCATTGCGGATGACCTGAAGTGGACACTAAATGTAATCTCAAGGTCCTTACCCAAAGGGAGCAGGGTCAATAAGGAAGGGAATATGTGGAGGAAGATGTGATGTGAGCCCAGGAATGCTGGTGCCTCTGGAGGCCCAA